ATGCCGTCGCTTCGACGGCAAGACGGCGGCCCCAGACGCGGGGACTCGGGACCCCGAGATGAACCCTCGGCCCCAAGCCCTCGACCAAGCGGTGCAAAAGGTCGACGTGGAGGCCCCACGCGAGGCCTGCTGCGATCCAGCTACGGATCAGGCGCTGGTTGGACCGCAGAGTCAGGCCCCAGCTCGGCCCACGCAGCACGTCCCACTCTAGCACACTGTAGCCCAGCTTCCCGAGCTCGGCCGAGAGCCGCCCGCGGCCACTGAAGACCTCTAGAAAGACCCGCGATCGCAGCTGCCCTCGGCGGACGGCGGGAAACGGGCGCTCGAAGACAGTCCGAGGGAAGACCTTAGCTGGTCGGGGGCCAGCGGGCCTGAGCGCGAACCACGGGCTGAAGCCGACGCAGCTGCTCGGCGACCCGTTCCTCTTCGCGGTACCGCTGCACCGAAACGCCCAACATCCATCGGCTCCGAAGCTTGGTCTCGCTCCGGGCGCGGCACTTCGCAGCCTGGTCGGACGTCGGCCCGCCGCGCCGCAGCGCGCACAGCTCGGGCTTCAGAACCACGACTCCACGAGCGCCCGCCGCCAGGCGGAACCTGTCTACGAGATCGGCCTGGCGGAACTCGAACAGTCGCCCCCCCGGCGACGCGGCCTGACGGAGACACCGCGGCGCTGGTCAAGCACAGCCTCGAAGTCCGGCGCGCCCGCCACCGCGGACTCGTCGACCTGGCGCGTCATGCTCCCCACTGTGGCCTCGAAAGAGCGGAGCACCAACGACCAATTCTGATAGCGTCTGCCCTGCTTGGGCGGCACCACCATCTCGCGCGCCAGCTTGAAGCCCTCCCAGGCCTGGGGCTGCAGTGGAAGGCCAACGCCACGAGCACCGCGGACGCCCGGTAGCCGTCGCACACGCGCTGGCACGCCACGAGCGCCAAGACCTCTCAAGGCAGCGACAGGCGCGTCCGCCCTGGGGCCAGACGATTCCAGCCTCGCAGGAACTGGCCCGCACGCGGCAGCTTGCAAGACCGGCTCTGGCCGAAGTCGGACAGGTAGAATTTCGCGACCGCCGGCATCAGAGGCCCCGCGTGGCACGGCTCGCCACTCAGGTGCTCGTCGTCCATCCACGGCGCCAGCCACTCGTCCAGAATGTCCTCGAAGGCGGCGCCGTGACTCCGACGGGCCCGCAGCCTCTGCGCCTGTGCCTCCACGGACGTCTGGCGCCAACTTCCGCACCTGTCCCACATCGCCTGGCCGGTGGCCAGCGTCCACGGGGCCTCCGACCTCTCCTGGAGGCGCGTGCGGCCCGCGGGGGGGGGGGGCCCTCGCGCGCGCCACCCGGCGTCGCCCCTGCGCCCGGGCCCGCCGCCCCTCGCGCTCGGGCCGCGGCCGAGCCTCGACGCCGGCCAGCCGCCTGCATGGGGCAGTTTCAGCGCCCCGGCCCGCCGCCCTCCCGGGGGAGCCGCGGCTCTGCGGCGCAGCAGCTGAGCGGGCGCTCGGGGGGCCGTCGCCGCCGCGCGGGACCACCGGCGACAGAGGCGCCGATAGCGTCCAGCTCTCTGATCTCGGCAGCAACCTGCTGGCAGTCTCTCCGACGGCCGGCGCCCCCGCCGCCGCGCTCGGGCTGGCGACCGCCCGCGGCAGCGTCGTAGTTGCAGGGGAAGTGGAGCCAGACACCGATAGAGATGCGCCGCCTCGAGGGAGCATCGGCCGGGTTCCACTCGGACGGCAACCAGCGGAGCGCCGGCGTGACCCGCCCGGCGAGGCACCAGGCCGCCCACAGGCGGGACGCCCGCAGCAGGCCGCGCGACGACGAGCAACCCGAGAGCCATAACGGACGAGTGGCTGTCGGACAAGAAAAGGACCCTCTTCCCGAACGTGCGACAGTCTCTGAGAGCGCGACGAATTGCTTGAACGAGAGCCCGACCTTCGAGAACCACGATGTCCTCGGCCCGGCCCCGCCCCTTGCTCGACGCGGCTTGCCAAGGACCGTCGAGCACATTCTGAGGCACGCCCTGGACCGGCGAGAACGCCTTGGGATCCGACAGCAGCGGAGCAAAGGACGGGGTTCAGGGTCCAGATCAAGGCAGTCGCACACCGCACAGAGGGCCTGCCCAGCCCGGCAGCCCCGCGGAACCTCCAGCGATCGCTCTCCCTGCCCAGCTCCCGCGCCCGATCGATCGGCACCTCGCGTTGAAACGCGCCTCGGCCCTGTTCGCTCGCATCCGTCGCGCGCGCCCGCGACTCCACCTCGACCCGCAGATCGGCCCCGAGGGCCGGCAACAGACTGACCGCCCATCGGAGCCCCCCTCAAAACTCCGCCCCACGGAGGCCGAGCGACATCACGCTACTTAGTAGCGAAACGATACACTGCATCGAAAACTGAAATAGGGGGCCACATGCGAACCCTACCCCATACCCCCCACGATTTCCGAGGGGGGGGTTCAGTTCGTTCGGGGGCCCCCGAGCCAAGAGAACCCCACCCTCCCCCTCAGAAATCTCGGGGGGGTATGGGGTGGGGATCGCATGTGGCCCCCTATGAAAGGTACTGCCTACGGGCCAGACCCGCGACAGCGAAGTGACCTGCGATCCTATTT